AGACCATGTGAGTTTCTGCTGAGAGCTTTGGTTACACTGCCTTCAAAATGTGTACTTTTTTTTAGTATACTGATTTTCTTGTTCTGAGATTGGTTTCTATTCTTTCAGTGATATGTCATGCAACAAGATTTCTGGTGCCATCCCAAAAGAGCTGGGACAGCTGCAGACCATGATAACTCTGTAAGTACATTTAGTTTTTGTCAAGTAAATTGATGTAGTGTTTAATCAGTTGTCCTTAATATCAGTCAATTCTAATGAATTTTTGATTGGCTTTGTTTCTTTATGAAGTACTTTGACAGCTAACGATCTTAGTGGAGCAATCCCTGACCAATTGACCAATTGTTTCAGCCTAACTAGTTTGTGAGTTCATCTATCTTTGCCTTAACATCATAGACATTCTAATTCTTCCTACAGTTACTGATCTTATGCCATTTTCCTTTAGGAATATATCCTACAACAATTTTAGTGGTGTTGTTCCTCTTTCACGGAATTTCTCGCGGTTTGCACCTGACAGGTATTTTCCGTATAGAATGAAGCTTCATCATTATATATGAGCATTAGTACAAGTTAATGATCATCTTACTATGGTCATCAGCTTTTTGGGGAACCCATTTCTTTGTGGCAACTGGAAAGGCTCAATATGTGACCCCTATGCACCAAGGTCTAACGGTATGACTTCATTTTTGTGCATTGGTTAGTGAATCTTCTGGTATGCTAGAGTCATGTGCATTAAAATGACTTGTTACTTTTGCAGCCTTGTTCTCTAGAACAGCTGTTGTTTGCACAGCATTGGGTTTCATAGCACTCTTATCCATGGTTATAGTGGCAGTGTACAAGTCCAACCAACCACACCAGTTTCTGAAGGGGCCTAAGACCAATCAAGGTAAAAATTAGTACATGTCCATTCTGTTCTTTTGCTTTTCAGTACTTTCAGGTATTTATGTTAGCTTTTATCTTGTTTCCCTCTAATTCCCTAGGTTCCCCCAAACTTGTGGTTCTTCACATGGATATGGCCATCCATACATATGATGACATTATGAGGATTACTGAGAACTTCAATGAGAAATTCATCATAGGATATGGTGCTTCCAGCACTGTATATAAATGTGTTTTGAAAGATTCCCGACCGATTGCCGTTAAGCGACTTTACACTACACATCCGCACAGCTTGCGAGAGTTTGAGACTGAACTGGAGACCATTGGAAGCATCAGGCATAGAAACCTTGTTAGCTTGCATGGTTACTCCCTTTCCCCTCATGGGAATCTCCTTTGTTACGACTACTTGGAGAATGGTTCACTCTGGGATCTACTTCATGGTTAGTAACCCTCTTTTCCTTGTAATCTTTTATAAAGCATCTTCATGTAAGACAGTGTTGACTATTAGTTGATATTTGTTACTGTTTTCCCTGTCGGAGAATGGTGCTATAAGCCAGGATTGATTTGAAAATGGCTAATTATCAACTGAATACATGTCATAGGGCCTTCCAAAAAGGTGAAGCTTGACTGGGAAACACGTCTGAGGATTGCTGTTGGTGCTGCTCAGGGTCTTGCTTATCTTCACCACGATTGCAACCCAAGAATCATCCACAGAGATGTGAAATCTTCAAACATTCTTGTTGATGAAAATTTTGAGGCTCATCTTTCTGATTTTGGGGTTGCAAAATGCATCCCTTCTGCAAAAACTCATGCATCAACTTTGGTGTTGGGCACCATAGGTTACATTGACCCTGAGTATGCCAGGACTTCCAGGTTAACTGAAAAATCAGACGTCTACAGCTTTGGCATTGTTCTCCTAGAGCTTTTGACAGGAAAGAAACCGGTTGATAATGACTTGAACCTGCATCAGCTGGTATTATTCTCCTCTTGTAGTCTACGTTGTTGCTTGTAAAAAAGATTTAACTCAGACTGGATATAGAAAAGAACAACTTATCTCAAATTTTCCTACCTTCCTCCAGCATTTGCGATGTTATCATTCCATCAAATGTCTTTTGTCTTTTAACTCCTGTATTATATTTGTTGTCTTTATAGAGTACTTTGATTTGTGTTACAGATAATGTCAAAGGCGGATGATAACACCGTGATGGATGCTGTTGATCCTGAGGTATCTGTTACATGTATGGACTTAACACATGTGAGGAAAACTTTTCAGCTTGCGTTGCTGTGCACAAAAAGATTTCCATGTGAGAGGCCAACGATGCATGAGGTTGCTAGGGTACTTGTTTCCTTGCTTCCTCCCCCGCCAACCAAACCTTGTTTAGACCCACCTCCCAAATCCATTGATTATACAAAGTTTGTGATTGGGAAAGGACTACCGCAAGTTCAGCAGGGTGATGATTCCTCCGAAGCACAGTGGCTTGTTAGATTTCAAGAAGCTATATCCAAAAACTCCCTTTGACTTGGGTTCATAGACACACTTCATATCAAATCAGAAGCGAATATGGAACATATATATGTTGGCCAAAGGTTTTTTGATGTTAGAGATTTCTCCTATAAGATGGTTAGGTACACGGTAATAGCTAGTGTATTTCACATTTGTAGATGGAATGTTTTATGGTGGATGAGATCCACAATAGGTTAGATCTACAACCAGTGCAGTTCAACTTAAATCTTTGTTGAGATCTATTTCCCTCTTGAACTTGATGTTTTTGTCCATGTATAGAGTTCAAACAGTGTAAGTTAATCACATTAAGCTTCCAGGTTTTGCATCCGCCTTTATATTTCTCTGTTACACTACCTCTTTACAATTTATTGCTTTCATGAATGACTACCCTGCAACAACAAATGGCAGTGAAGTTTGAACAATTATGGACACTTCGATATGCAAATCTAGTTTCTTCATAATTGAAGATTTATATCGGTGCAAATCAAGTTTTACTGCTATATATAAAACTGTCTTTTAACAGTTTCTTAGATATTTAGCTGCTGCACTGGTTCAATGGAACGAGTTTGAAGATGGTGAAGAATTGCATCTATGTTGAGCTAATACTATGTCTCACCGTGGAATTTCTCAAATATGAGTGCAAGCAGTGTGTGCATAAACTTGTCATTATTTTGGACCAAAATGTATTTAAATGCATGATCCAAAGTTTGGTAGTCTCACCATGTTATTTATCCTCATGCATGTTCCTCTGGATATCTACTAGGGCTGGCAAAATCAAACTAGACCTGTCCAACCCATTTAAGGTTGGATTGGTTATTGATCCACATATTTGATAGTTCAACTCAATCCATTTCAACTGATTAAAAATTGGGTTGATATCTAATCCAAATTGGTTTTTGACAAATCTTGTCTAATATTTTTATAAATTATTTTTTGATTTTATATGTTATATATAGTAATAATAAAGAAAAAATAATTTTATTAGGTACTAAAAACAACAAATAAAACCATTACAACTAAATAAAAAATTGGGCAAATTGGGTTATGACTCGTTACTAACCCGTTATCTAACCCTTTTTGACCCAAATAAATTTGGGTTGGGTTGGATCTAGACCCATTGTCTTAACTCATTTTGATCCGTTCAAATTTAACCCAACCCGCCCAATTGTCACCCCGTGATATCTACTGCTCCTGCAAAATATTTCACCACACTTGCAACTTAATCCCATAGTAGGCATCCATCCTATTAAATCCCATTTCTTCCTGCAAACAAGCATGCACTTTTCTGGCTTCATTTTCAGATATCTTTTTGGATGAATCAATTGCATCCTTGGCGGTTTTTTCTTTCAAAAAAGCTTTTTAACATTGAAAACAAAGATTGGCTGCTTGGGCGTCCATAGAAACCACAACCTCTTGCACATAACATTGGGTTTTCTGCTTTTTCTTTTTTTCTCCTTTGAAAGAAAAAATTATTTTGTGAATTTCGGTCTTTTTAAATTCCTTTGGTTATTATAATGTGTTGTTTTCTGATTTCGTAGTGATAGTGATGGGTTAAAATGTTGTATTTTTGGGGTTATATATAGGAGATGAAGGTTGTAATAATCCTAATAAAGATCAAAGACTTTCATAATATATGCCTCTCCTAATATCCGTTTGGTTTTAGTTTGGAATATTAATATTTGGAAATCATTGTGCAAATCTGATTAAATATGGGATAGGGTTAGATTCCCCACCTTGTAATCCCTCCGCAAGTTCTAATCTCTAAACAAAAATAATGTTAGATCATGATCTAAAATTTAATAAAAATAAATGAGTCAAGCAATCTTGAATAACAAAAATTGCAACTATACACTATTTGGTAGTACTATTAATCAAAACAAATGACATGACTATACTAAAAGATAAAATTGAAAAACCCAAATAAAAAAGACTTGGAACATAACTAGCAATAATAGCGATTAAGCACCAAACACGTCTTAGATTCTATTCTCAAGTTTATCAACTTTGCATAAAGGATTCTCCTTTACCAAAGCCGCACGCCCTATCGACTTGAAATCCAATACACATCCATGTTCTTCTGGATATCTATGTTTCTTGCAAAATATTCCACCACACTTACAATTGAACCCTATCAATCCCACCTTCTTCATGCAAGCCATGCACTTTTGTGGTTTTTGTATCTTCGTCGAGTGATCATCTTTTTCAGCTATAATAGTAAGAGAAGATATCTTTTCGGATAAAATTGATACATCCTTTGCCATTTCTTCTTTCAGAAAAGCTTGGTAACATTGGGAACAAAGGTTGTGATTGCTTGGGTTCCCATAGAAACCACAACGCCTTGCGCATAAAATTGGGGTCATAGTCATTTTTGAGTGAATTTTTCTCTTTTGAGAGTCTTAGGTTATAATGTGTTTTTATGCAATTTAGTAGTGGTAGTGATGGATGTATAATGCTGTATTTGATGTCATTATATATAGGAGAGGAAGCTTGTAATAATCCAAATAAAGATCAAATTAGGACTTACGTAATATAAATTATAATATTAAAATATTCCTCTTGGCATTCCGCTTTTGTTTTGGTTTGGGAATGTAATATATTTGGAAACCCTTCTCACACACAATTTAGGTGTATAATGCTATATTTGGTGTTTTTTTTCTTTTTCTTTCTTCTTTGAACTCTTGAGTTGATATAAGTTAATACATTGGGTATTTAAAAGACTATACTCCCCTTCCTAGCACATGTATGTATACCTTGTAGATGTACATAACAGACCAAAAGGAATACACTATATTTGACTTGCTGTACAGTGCTAGCCACAAAAATTTGGTGTTGCAAGTCTTGAGGACAGTCTTTTATTTCCTATAGCTAAAGACATACATTTCCAGATAACTCTCAGCTTAGGAGGATCGATCTACCTCCCATGAAACTTGCAGCAATTCAACAATCACACGTATTTTTTCATCGGATTCCCAAGCTCCTGAGAGATCAATGTGCAAGTTAGATCCAAAGATTAAAAAAAAAGAAGAGAAACATACATCCATTGGTAGTACTAAGGCATGCGTAGACGCGCAAAAGCTAGATTAAAATCAAACTTAGTTTCAAACAAATGGCTCTAGCTGAGATGGGTTAAAGGATGTAAGTCACTATTGTAGAAAATAATTTGATAAAACAAGAGATATGATAGTACTGAGTCTACTGATTAACATTTCAAGTCCATAACTTTAAGACTATGCTCGCACAATTTAAGGATCCAGCGATATGTGTAAGTGTCCATTTATAAAACTCTATAAGTATACAAAAGAAGCTCTAGCTTAAAAGGTCTATCTTGATGAGAAGTTCTTCTGTGGACTTTCTGTTTTCCTATATATGAAACTCAAGCAATAGGATACCTGTTCATGCTGGAGTGGAGTCCAAACCTGTCATTGGCCCTCTCTGCCGCACATTGATTTGTCTTTCCAACACATTTCTGTATAATTGAAATAACAATCAGAAGAAGTTGCAGTCAACAGTTAAAAGAATCTAGCATCGTTCTATTCTTCATACCCGAAATTTAATCTGCAAACAATTTGGAGTATTCTCCTTCAACTCCTATACAACAAAAGTGGGTATTAGAAACAATTCATCTGCATAATTAAAAAAAAAAGTTTTTCTAGGAGTCCTCAGGGTCACCTTTGCTGAGGGATTCTTTTTTGGCTTAGACACTTCACGTGTTTCCTTTTCAGATCTAAGGGACAACTAGGATTAAAAAGGAACCAAGATTAGAATTTTTTTTTGGCTGAGACATGAGTTACATATACATAAGACTGATACATTCAGGCTACCGCATAACTGGTAGTAACACCATCAGAGGAATTCGATATGGCATGCATAATCATTTTGAAACTAGTACCTTATTAAACAGTTCAATTGGCGGATGCACCGAAAGTTTCTCATCAAGTATGGATTTGGATTCCTGTGATAATACACGAAAAATTTAAAAACAGGAAACAAGGAAAAGAACCAACTAACAAAGAGGATGAGACACGTTTAATGGAAAGTCCAGCAAAAGTATACAACGAAATCATGTGTTACCATTGAGTATGTACTTTCTTGTCCATTGTCTTCACCTATGCCATTATCTTCCCTACTTGGAAATATCTGTATGAAGACATGATCTTTAAGCATATACCACGTAGTCAAAAGTCAAAAAGACAAAAACAGGCAAACATAAGTCAGCTAATATGCTACCTTGTTACATTTATGTGATCTTGACTTGAGGGATGTAACAGATTTTCCTGGATTCACAGCATTTTGAGCGTTTGGTCTGAGAAACAACCCAAAACAGTATAAGCACAAACTGGACTTGCTATACAAGAAGTGAACTTTGTGATGCTTTAGGTTAAATTATATATGGTGAACTAAAAAGGCGATGTTAACTTTATGATAAGATTCTACATGCTTCTACTCCAAGAGGAAATAGATGAATTTTGAATTTCTCAGGAGATCTCTGAAAATAGTTGTGCAGTTTTATGCAAAATTAAGAACATCATAGTTTTGGTTTTGTTCTTTCACATATAGTTTACTCAATTGGTGAAGTAAAGAAGCCCATCCAACCTTTTAAAGTCCACTAAAGCATTTTGTGCGACAGAATCGGCATTTAGAGAGTTAAATAACTGCAATACCCATAAAAGAAAAGGAAGAGTTAGCTTCCATCAACTGAAAGCATAGAAACTAAAGCTGCAGAACACATGCAAATGTTGCAATGATGATTAAGTCATAAACTTTAAGTGCATCAGTTAGTACGAAAAAATCAGAGCAAAAAAGAGCAAATATAACATCTAACTTCATAAATTACATGTTTGTCCTCAAATATTTCCCTACAGCCTCTGTGTGATAGGGATAATGCTACAAAGACTGGATATGATTGCTAAATGGTTGTGGAATCAAATCATTATTAGCATTTCATAATTCCTTGTCAAGATTAGCTACACTTTATTAGAATTAGTGTCAAGTAGTTCATAAGGAGACATTTGTTTACTGTGATGTGGCCTAACGGTTTGAAATTGGGAGTAAGACCATGGGAGACGAAGGTCAAATCTCAGTATAGGCAAAAAAGTTAAATGAGTTGCCCGGTAAATGTACTGATGGGGGGATGCAGGTAAATAGTGGAATGATTGAGGTGCAAGCGAATTAGTTAAGACCCCAATGCTAGTAAAAAGAGATAAGGAATCAGTTTACTCCCCAATCAAAGACTCCTATAAATAACGTATATCTGCACCAATTCATTCTACCTCACCAATTAGAGAATCTACACACAAACACCATTAGCATGGAACACCAGTAACTTTTCTAAACTTCCGATGATAGGAGAAAATATGAAAACACCCAGACTAACAGTCTTACGTAAGGCATCACTACATCCAACTCAAGAACCTAAAGAACACACTAAGGAGATTGAGATTGGGAATGCACATGTTTTCTTTTCCAAGTTAGTAAGCTTAATTGATTAAACATCAATGTGGAAAAAGGAGCAGTGGAAAAGCAGTGATTAATTACACGAAACTCAGGCAACAGAGCTCTAGTCTTTCTGAGAGGAGGTAATGTAGGAGTGCTGAGGATCTGCAGAAAGCACAAATAGACAAGGCTCAGATGAAAGATTATGTGGAGATTACTATTAAAATGTTTTCACAAGAGAGCACTACTCGGAATACCAACATTTCTGTTCAAGGACTGTGATTTAAGCATTTGGGTTTTGGCTTTCGTGATTTCACTTGAGTTTGAGTCCTTGTTGCACCTGAAACTTTTAATCAGAAAAACCAAAAAGCTGATTACCAACTGGTACTGGTAGCAGTTGTATACCAAGACTAAAAAGCCTACCTTCGCCTTTGTGCCCTCTGAAGAGTTTCCAGTTCAGGTTCTCTAGGAACAGTAACTTTAGATTTGGGATGTGCCGAGATAGAGATGGATGAGGTATCCTGCCAAAACAGAATAAAAGCTCTCAAGCTGCAAATAATGATGCATAAGAAGTTCTTAAACATGATCTGTTTATGAAACCACAACAAAGAATCCTTCAGATAGTACCTTCTTGGATATCTTGTGAGATAGTAGACGTTGATGCTTCAAGTGAGCAATCTGGTTTGCAAGATCAAATGAGGAATTAAAAATATTTCTAGCAGTTGACAGCTTTTAGGAATGGGAAATACTTTGTGAACATATCCTAGAGATAGAAAACTAACTTGAACACCTTAATTATGTACACAATTAAATCTAATGCCACTAAACCTACATTACTTGGAGATGAAAATCATGCCAATTTTTTAAAATCTCGAAGAGTAAATGCTACACCAAATGTCATACTAACTAATTTCCACTGTTTTCTCAGCATAAACTGCTCTTGTGCACTCAGTGAGGTAATTTCACCAGGTTAGTACCTATTGGCATAACGGATACTGTTTGCACCTAAAACAAATTTTTATTATGTCTATTTCATAAAAATCAATGATCATATTCATTATCTGGAGATACATATGATGTTGAGCACCTTAATGTTGTTAGTGAAGTAAAATTGATAAAATAATTTTACATCCTTGCCTTTCTAACTTAGTTCTCCTTAGTTCATAGCTTGCCATAACTACAACTAGTACTTCCACAAACTTTTTTTAAATAACTTAACTTCAAATACTAGTATTTTTTTTCAAATATCACTCAATCCATGTCCAAATGCCTAGTTAATTAAATACTTCTCCGGAATAGACGAAGTTCCAAAAGATCAAACAGTTAAGTCCTTTGGCAAATAGCATTAGTTCATAGAGAAGACACTGTCTCAAGATCTAAGAAGAGAGTACAAAAGGTACAAATAAGTCTTCTTATTTAAACATGACATACATCAATAAAAGAAAAAATTGCTATGGCAAGAGTAAGATGGATGAAACATTACACTGAAAGAGGGCAGAGAAATGAGGGTCCGTGCTGCTTAAGGAATACATGTGTGGAATACAAACTTAGAAGCCAACTAGAGTAAAACAAAATAATACTATCATCAAACAGTAACTGAATAACTTCATGCACCTTAAGTAGATAACCGATTTCCAGCTTTTGCCTTTTGGTAGCAATAATTTCGGATGCCAAAGAATTCGTTGAGCTTGTCACATCAGTCTTGTTAGATGCATTTTGAAACCTGGCAATTGAAGAATGAGAAGATGAAATCAAAAATTAAGAATTGTTTAAACTGGTTTCAGAAGTCAAGAGAGCCAACAAAGTGAAAGTGAACTGCAGAAACATACACAAGCCTGAACTACAACTTTTAAGTAATGTTGTCACTGAAGTAATCAGTGGCGGATCTAAGGGGTGGGAGGGTGTTCACTTGAACCTTCTTGGCAAAAAATTACACAGTATATATAAGGTGATTTCTTTTTTTATGTATATATATAGATTTTGAATCCCCTGAACACAAGACAAGAGGTTGGCTTAATGGTTTAGGGGTTCAAAATTTACTTGACGTTCCAAGGTCAAATCCTAGGCACTACATTTTTATTTTTCGAACCCCCTAAGCGAAAATGCTGAATTCGCCACTGCTGTCGTTGTAGTTTCTGAGAATTTCTGACATGAAGGAATGAAAAAGAAACTAAAGTTTTCAAAATTATAACCTTCAAGAAAATAAGATAGAATATACATCTTTTACATACTTCTGTTTAGCCAAATGACTAGCCGTGGGCTTCATTAAAGTTGAACCTCTTGATGTTGAAGATCTTGGCTCTGGCTTTGTCTTGCAAATTTCACGAGTCGTTTGACCTTTGGATATAGTTCCTGAGGGGGTACAAGGGAAACCAGTTAAATACTGTTGAAGTTTTGCAAGATGTATGTTGAAATTATTTTTTTGAACTCTTGCTAGTTAACCACGTGCATATATTATCTAATAACTACTGTTTAATCTACTGTCAACAGAGTACTGACACTAAGCCTAATAAAATCACTAAGACAGTTAATATAACTGCAAAATATAAACAGAAAAGAATGGTGAAGTGATAATTACAATAAGATAATAATTCGATTAACCATGAAACTACTAGCACTCGCCCTGCATAAAGACTGATCTTGAATATGCACAATTCTTAGAAATTATTTCTTCTGCAAGTTAGGTTAAAGAAAGTCCACGGGTTAATTTAACTAAGCATCTCCGTGGAGTTTATAGGAAAAATGAAATCAGAATATCAAGTTTTAGCTCAAATCTTGCGTTGTTACAGTGCACAAGTAAGTTAGCTACAAAACTTATTTAAGAGAACAAATAACAATTTAAGCACACAGACAACGAAAAGGCAAACTTTGAGTCAGTAAACCAGAGCTTCTCTTCTAATACTTGCAGATAGATCCATTAGATGAATGTTCTGATGTGAGTTAAAAAATGAGACCAGACACTTTTAAACTGCCAGCATATATACCTTTAGTTTTTGATTTGGAGGGCGAAACTTCAGAACCAACAGGAATGTATGAGTTGTTGCCTTTTGATTTTGCCATTTTCCCTTCTTGTAACCTTGAGCAACCATTTGAGTTTCCTGCTGTAATCTCTTTCCCCAGGTTTAACTTGATAATGAGAGCTAAGAAGTTACCAAATAAACAAGGAAAATAAAAAAGAAAGAGTGAATAAACCAATCAACCAGGATAAGCTGATCAAAAAATATATATAATAGCTGTCAAAAAGATAAACTTATGAGGTCATAGTCACAATATTGTTGATGAAAATCCTTGTATGATAAAACATATGTGAAAGAGGACAAGGACGATGAACAAAAGGAATTCGAGAAGCCAAAGCTTTGTGCTTCCACCACAGGCATTGTATTATAAACTATCCATTTTATTTCTGCATTTCACAATCACCGAATCAGAAGAATTAGATAGAACGAATGTACATTCCATCAACATTCCCAGATTAACTTCCTACTAGTCTAAGAAGATGATTTCACGGACTACAATCATCCAATACAGCATAATAACATATCTAATACAAACAAATAACCTTTCACAAACAGACGTCAACTCAAACGATTCGTGTTTCTCTATTGAAACACAAAATTTGCAACGCGAATTTTAATCATCAAACTCATACACAAAATCAACCAAAAAAAAGGAAACTCAGTTAAACACTCATGTAAGTTGTTTATTTTTTTTATGTATGACTTACGAGAAGGCGGATAAGTGCTGGCCATTTGAAACCATCGCTCGGCTTCCTCGGCTTCGGAAGTTGATTCCGGCCGGCAGAAATCATAGAACCTAGAGGCGTCAAACTCATATTCCGAGTCGATTTCGGATACGACGTCCGAACATTCTACAATGAAATCCTCCATTTCTTCATCCATTGATTCTATAAACTATTGATAAAAAAGAGAAAGTTATGAAAGGAGAAATTGAGAGGAAATCATTGATCTCCTCCTGTGTTCACATGGTCCGTGAAAGAAATGGCGGACGTCGCGAGGGTTTCGAGCGTGAAAGCTTTTAATGCGAAAGTTAGAAATGATTGGAGGGCGAAATTATCTCGTGAATGCTTTGTTTGCGGAGAAGAGAGAAGCCGGATAGACAGGACGCGGTGATCATCCTTTTCTATAGATACTCACTCCATATAAGTTGCGCCGAGGAGGCTTTGGAAAATGGGCTATCACCGAAATTTCAAATTTTGCTGGTCCTATTTTTGGAAATTCTCACAAATTACCAAAACGCCCTCACAAATTATTTTTTATTTTATTTAATAAATTAAGATAATTTTAGTATTAGTACATAACTACATTAAGGAATAGTAGTCAAATTTAGAGTTTTAAAATATCATAAATAAGATTAGTTTAGTAAAATCATTTCTAATAAAATTTCTCAAGGGTTGCGTCTAAGTCAAAATAAACCAAACAATATGAAATAAAAGGAGTATCACCCCATCTCAATTTAGGTGGTACATTTTGAAAAAAAAAATCAATTAATATTTTTTTAATTGTATATTTTAAACTATTAATTATTACTCTTATAGTTTATAGGAATAATACTTTTTATATAGTTTTCATTTATTTTTAAAAAAAAAACAACTTTAAAATTACATACAATAAATTATTGTCAAAATTCTGCTGTAAATTGGAACAGAGGAAGTAATATTTAATATTAGTACTACTTTATTTTCTTTTCATTTTCGTTCTCTTTTTTTTTTGTTTGCCATAATTTCTCACATTGATCTTTAAGGTTCAATTCGAATGGAAATAAGATCAAGAGGTTGATTCCTCTTGCCACTTGGCTCAATTTCAGTTCTTATTTTTATTTTTGTTTTTTAATGCCACGAAAATACTTTGGCAAAAAAAGTATTATGACGTCGTTTGATAGAGTGTATAAGAATAATGCAAAATAAAGTAAATTAGTAATGCTTGCATTAGTAATGCATGTATTAGTTATGCTTGCATTAATTATACATAGATTATTTGTATGCATTGCTTGGTTTGATGCATTAAAAATGACATGCATGCATTGCATAAAAAAAATTACTAGACCAAACACATATGCAGACCCTTAAACTTGTCTCTAAATTCATTTTGGCACTCCAACTCAACCTTGTTCCATTTTAACCCTTTAACTTCCATTTTTTTATGTTTCATTTTTGGCACTTCTAAGTGATGTGGCAGAGTGTGTGCATCACACTTTCTCTAAGAGAATGAAAGATAAAAAAAGTATTTTTAAAAAAATAATAAAAGATTAACCCTTGAACTCTTTTTTTTATGTACCATTTAAACACAAAATATTATTTTTATGATTTCTTTATTTCTATATATGCTCTTCAACTGCAATTTTGCATTTTAGAAATTGTAATTTTTCATTCAACTAAATACGAGTAAAAAAAAAAACTCATGTTCATTGCTAATTAATAACTCTATAAAAAATGTTGAAACTCGATAGACTTCGTTGGGTTGTCATTGATTTTTCTTAAGAAAGAAAATCGACGCACTTTCGTCGATTATTTTTCACGCAAAAATATAGGAAAACTCTTAAAAAGAAATTGTTACTTTTTTTATAAAAAAAAAACAATGATAATCCGTCAGTTTTAATTTTTTAAAAATCAATGATCATCCGTCAATTTGAATTTTTTACAATAACTAACGGATGAACGACGATTTTTAAAATGCAAAATTGCAGTGGAAGAGCATATATAAAAATAAAGAAATCATAAAAATAATATTTTGTGTTTAAATGGTACATAAACAAAATAGAGTTGAATGGTTAATCTTTTATTATTTTTAAAAAAATACTTTTATTTTTTATTTTTTTCACTCTCTTAGAGAAAGTGTGATGCACACACTCTGCCACTCACTTAGAAGTGTCAAAATGAAACATAAAAATTGGAGTTAAAGGGTTAAAATGGAACAACGTTGAGTTAAAGTGTCAAAATGAAATTTAGGAACAAATTTAAGGGTCTACATATGTGTTTGGCCAAATTACTATCTACATATGTGTTTGGCCAAATTACTATTTACAAAGATACCCTCTATTATTATGGTGGGAAAGATGTAAACAAGGTTTTAAGGGACAATTGGATCTAATCATGCTAATGCATGCGTTAAAACTATTGCATTGCTAATACCTTGAAATTCATGGTATTAATACACATTTTAATACAAAATTTAGTTATGCATAGGTTATAAAAGAATATCAAACAAGGTACTAATTAATGATATTACACAAAACTAATGCATGCATTATTTTTTCTAATACCCTCTACCAAACGATCACGTATAAAATACATTATAAAATCTCAAGGAAATAGGAGGAGAACTTATTCCCACGAAATATGTATATCAAATTAAATATGTTAAAACTTAAAGTAAGAATAAACATATAATTCAATTATAATTAAATAATAAACATATGGATGTATATATATAAAACATACTAATATATATTTATCGATTTGACATAAATAATAAAGGACACCGGCCATATCACCAACTAGCTATATGGACTCGTATGTAAAGGGACTTATTGATCAACAATTAGTATAAAATTAGGAGTTCGAAGTCAAAAGGACAAAAAAAATTGTCAAAAATTTCAAAAGGGCACATCAATTTTTTTTTAAATCAAAAGGGCAAAATTGTTCCTGACGAAGCGATTTCCCTCTGACACAGCGATTTTTTGTAATTTTTTTTTCTTATTAAAAATCGTTGTCACAGCAGTGATTTTGTAATTTTTTTATTAAAGTGGCAGCGATTTCAAGTCAGAATTATTTTTTTCCTTACACATCGCTGCAGGGGCAGCGTTTTTCATGTCTAGTGCTATTATTTTCATGCATATTCATGCCTATTGTTAATTATTAATAATATAAAAATGATAAACAAGACGGACAGTATACTCAATAAAATTGTTGAAGCATGAGGAAAATAGAATTATATATCATAAATAATAATAAAAGAATATTAAATTAATTAATTAATTAATTTTTTTAAATTCTTAACCAAAATCTTGAAGAAAAAAAGATTATTTTTTTGAGAAAATCGCTGCTAAGGCAGCGATTTTTATTTTTTTTAATGAACGACAACTTTTGTCAGAGGAAAATCGCTCCTGACAAAAGGGCAAAATCGCTCCTTTTTCTTCTGACAAAAGTTGTCGTACGTTAAAAAAATAAAAATCGCTGCTAAGATCACTGCCCTAGCAGCGATTTTCTCAAAAAAATAATAATCTTTTTTTCTTCAAAATTGCTGCTATGGTTAAGAATTTTTTTAAAAAAGTTTTTCTTTTTAATTTAATATTCTTTTATTATTATTTATGATATAGAATTCAATTTTCCTCATGCTTCAACAATTTTTTTTAGTATACTGTCCGTCTTGTTATCATTTTTATATTATTAATAATTAACAATAGGCATGAAAATAATAGCACTAGGCATGAAAAACGCTGCCTCTGCAGCGATGTGTAAGGAAAAAAAAATTGCTAACTTAAAATCGCTGCTACAGCAGCGATTTCTAATAAAAGAATTTTTTTTTCTTTTTACAAAATCGCTGTCAGGGCAGCGATTTTTCGTCATTGTGTCAGAGGAAAATCGCTTCGTCAGGAGCGATTTTGCCCTTTTAGTTTTAAAAAAATTTGATATGCCCTTTTGAAATTTTTGACAATTTTTTTTTACCCTTTTAACTCCAGACTCATAAAATTAGTGTCATTATTTAAAATATTGGCATTGAGTTGGATTTCAAATTACTTACTTTAATCCCATTATCTAGAGAGTTGAGACAGAGAGAGAAGAAGTGCCATTTGACACCATGAAAGCAACACAAATATATACAAAAGACAAATTATAAGGACTGAATTAATCAAAATGTCAGAATTTAATAATCTCCCAATAGTTGTCTTTGGGATAGAGTCAAAATTTTATCATAATTATTAGCAATAACCTTTCAAGATTGTTCAAATTTTGGAGTCATGTCAAAGAGTCCATTGTGTGATATATAATTCGTATTTGAAGAATACAATATACGTGGTAGATGAAAATTATGAGGAATCTTCGGTTAGGGATGGCAATGGGGAGGGGCAGATGCGGGGCGGTGTGGGTTTAAGACTATGTGGGGCGGGGTGGGTTTAAGGTTGTGCGGGGCGGGTGGGATGCGGGGCGGGTTGAAGTGGATTATCTTAAAATTAATGCGGGTGTGGCTGGTTGCGGGTATATGTGATTTTATGTGGGTTCAAATTTAATTTCAACTTTTTACATGTTATAAGAGTGATAAATCATTATTTATTAAGATAATTTCTATAAATTTACTAAAATATTCGAGAAAGTACATGAAAATGGTTCAATAAAAAATAATATAATTTCTTACATGTTTTCCAATTGACCCCTCAAAATAAATTTTTAAGTCACTATCCTATTAAATTAATACAACTTAATGAAAAAAAGAATTTATTGTTATGAATTTTATTTTTAGTATCAAACTTAATTAGAAAAAGAAAATATTTAAAAAGTTATGTGGGGCGGGGCGGGTTGAAAGTGAAAAAAAATGTTATGCGGGATGGATAAAAAAATATGCGGGTTAAGCTCAACTCGCCCCACCCCCACCCCACACCGCCCCATTGCCATCCCTATCTGCGGTAGATGTTTTTACCGTAAGGGTACGGTCTATATGTACACATTACCTTCTCAGTCTTCGATTCAACTTATGAGATTACATTAGGTATCAGTGAGTATATTGTAGATTACAGTTGAAAAAAAAATGAACAAACATGAATAAAGAAATATTAATGCTGAAATATGAATATATCGCTCTTTTTTAAAAGATTCAAGTCTATTACACTATAATCTACGATATAACTCTTGACTTGTCCCCTTTCCATGATACAACAGTCCAACAACATCGTATAACTCAAATAACTCTGATTTAATTGAAGAGTCCAAAGCTCCACCAGAAAAACATTTTCGTTTAACATAAAGAAGAAAATATTCTTTATACAAGTATATGATTCCTTCCACATATAAAATGTCAAGAATGTGGATAGTTATTTGACGATTAGTGGGATAACTACTACTATCTCCGTCCACTTTTAATTGTCATAATTTTTTTTAAAAGTCAAACGATAATAACTTTGATTAAAATTTTACGATGTATTTTTCATCATATTAATAT